TGCACACGGAACAAGGCTCGACTTCATACCCACAACTAATACTATCCACAGCAGGAAACCTCACAAGCCAGAACTAAATTTCCTTCTTATCTCGACAGGACAATATCTATAGAGCAGGCAACAACACTAGATGCCCCCATTAGCGAACAAGAGGTTTTGGAAGCTCTGAAATCAATGAAGGCAAACAAAACACCAACAATTGATGGGCTATCCAACGAGTTTTGGGTAGCATTTCGGCCGGCATTAGGTGATGAATATTTTCAATATCTGGAAAAAGCCTGGGGAAAAGGAACACTCAGAAGTAAACAAAGCATGGGGGTAGTTACCCTCCTATACAAGAAGGGAGACCCAATGGACATCGAGAACTAAAGACCCATCTCATTACTGACAGTCACCTACAAAATTCTACCACAACTTCTAGTTAACAGAATCAGAGACATAACCAAAAATTGTTTTCACCTTGACCAAACAGGTTTCATACCAGGAAGATTCATCCTAGACAATGTAATGACCCTCTCAGAATCCATGAGATATATACAAGACAAAAGAATGAATATCGCCATTCTTTTTTTCGACTTTGAAAAAGCCTATGACCAAGTCAACTGGAACTTTCTTCAACAAAGCATGGAGAGGATGGGGGTAGGACCAAACTTCAGGAATGGGTCCAAAATTCCAACTCTATTCCGGCGCCCAAGGGAGAATCCAGATCAATGGACATCTTTCACAACCCTACCGGATGTCACGCTCCGTGAGACAGGGAGACCCACTAGCCGCCCCTATATGCCTATTCATCATGGAAGCTATAGCCTCCTTCCTAAGGAAGGACCATCGATAGAAAGGCTAGTAGAGGACAAAGTCCACCCCACCAACTTGCCTACCACAATCCTTTTTGCAGACGACCTGACAGTACTAATACGAGCCTCAAATTCCTCTTTGAAGCACTCACAAGAGCTATGCAGGATTTCCAAATGGCATAAAAAATGAAATCAATTGGGCTAAAACAATAGGCTGGTGGCTAACGGAGCCACACTTGAACCCCCCACGATGTACCCCCGAGGGAATGACCTGGAACCGTGGCAATGAACCGCTCAGATTCCTGGGCATCTAGATGTCTAAATTCGGTCGGAACCACGCAATGGCACCAGTAGTAATGAACAGAATGATAGTTAAATTAGGCAGTTGGACAAATGTCTACACATCGGCTTTTGGTAGAGCGCAAATTCTAAATGCATCATTATATTCTATGATCTGGTACGCAGCAACAATCTGGAGCCCCCCCCAACAACTCAAATCACAACTAAGGAGACGAGCAGCGGCGCACCTATGGTCAGGGAACCCATCCAAGGAACACTTCATATTGAAAGTAGCCTGGAAGTATGTGATACTTAGGAGATCTAAGGGAGGCTTAGGAATTCCCGTCCCACAAACGCAGATCAAGGCCCTACAGACTAAATGAATGCTTAAATTAATCATGCATAAGAACTTACCATGGACTCAATTAGTCCTGCAAAGAATACAAAAATTGGCAAAATTCAAAACACCGGACAATATGAAGGGGCTGTTTTGGATCATGGCCAAGTCATGGGCAACGAAACGCACAACCAGGGCAACGGATACGGAAAATGAAGAAGCAAAAAGCAACGATTTCTGGAAGCACTTGTTAAAAACATGGAGAGAAATAATGCCAGCAAAAGTGAGGGAACCAACAGCCAAAGAGGAATTACTCAGACAACCCCTTTTCTCAATCAATGGCTGGTGGATCCGCACGGAAAACCTTGGACGCTAAGAGCCAAAGATTCAAGATGGGGAACATGGGTGCAGAAAGGAGTGTGGCAGATTAAGCACCTCTGGCACAACACAGATCGGCGATGGAAGACGTCAGAGGAATCGAGAGAACAATTAAAAGGCTGTCACAACTTACAAGAGAACCTGAACAACATACTGATCTCAAAACTGGAAAACTAGCGCAAACACCTCAGAAGTAACCACAGTTGGACAGCCGGAGACGAGGCAACAGAGATCACAGACAGTCCTACGATGGTGTACCACTTCTGAACCAAAGAGGGACCCAAAAACAACTGGCTCATCTGCGACATCTACACGATAGCGGACCCAGGAGCAACAACAAGCCTGCTAAGCAAGAACCCTGCAGGAGAGGTAGCATGGTGCGAACAAAAACTGAGGAAGGTGAGAGTAGAAACACAAGAGTGTAGAATATACAACCCACAAACCAGCATAGAACATCTGGAACTCGACTCGGCGGAATGGGCGTGGAACTAAGAACAGGGAGGCTTAATCTAGAAAAGCGCACGAATATCCTGGAATATACCTCTAAGCTAGGACACACTCTATGGATGAGATCACATCCCATAGCCCAAATTATAGGCCAAAAATGGGAGACACAATTTAATCTGCCGTGTAATCAGGCTCCGAGCATTCCTTGGACCAGAATCCTAACCATTAACCCAGTCAAAATAAGAAGTTTCCAGTGGCTACTCGCCCACCCAGCTCTACCGGCCAACAAGTGGCTGAATAAAAGAAGGAACACACAATTCGGATCCCTGCTACAGGAACTTTGTGCGATTTGCTCGGCGGGTCCCATAGAAGACGTGAACCATTGCCTACTACCTTGTCAAAAAGCCGAACAACTCTGGACAAACGCTTCTGAACTGTGGCAAAGAATTACTAACAAGAACCTACCTACTGATCAGACCACCCTCCTTCTATGGCTACACATCCCTGCCTCTTGGCATGACTATGTAACACCATTCTTTCACATTCTTAGACTCGCAACATTACGGACCATATGGGAAAGACGATGTCAAGAGACGATAGACAGAACTCCAATGTCCGTCCAAGAGGCATGGGAAGGAGTCCTACTGTTGCATACTGTAACGTGCAGACCAGAACAAGAACCGACCTTTCAATACAAAGTATAAGATAGCACAACGGAAGACTTAGATACCAGTGATCCGAACAATCAATGTTGCAATGCAGCCCTGAACATACATCATCATCATCGTTACATGGTGTGAATGGGGTCTGGCGCTTCACACAGGAAGACTGCGCCAGCCCATACCATACACAGACGAAGAGGAAGGGGATAGACAAAGAGGAGGGGAAAATGGGAATGTCGTCAACACCAAGTCTTCGGCACAAGCCCAAATAGTCCCTCGTCGAAATGTCTGAATCCCGAATGTCAAGTCTGGATCCAATGTCGTCAAGTCTCAAGTCACAACTCTGTCTCTCTCGGTCGTAGTCTGAGAAGTCAGGTGGCGAGAGGGTGAGAAGAGAAGGTGGACTTAGAAGAGGAAGAAGAAGAACCCTCTCTCTCTCTGTGTCCAGTGCTAACCTGTGAAGTTGGCGCCTTGATGCAGGTACCACGAAGATGGAGCTGGAGCGACGGGGCCACAGGTAAGTACCACTGGCCTCCGCCAGTATCTCTCCCACTCTGCGATCTACCACCTACCAGCGCCCATCGCTGAAGACTACTCTATGGCTATGGCGCCCAGCGCCGAAGACTACAGCTAGCGCTACTACTACTTAGCGCTGAAGACTACTGCAGCGCTCCTCCTGAGCGCTGCGGCCGAAATCCTGAAGACTACTCATGTCTACTGAAACTACCTACCTGTGAAGTGCATGGGAACCTCCTATGTACTACCGGGTGTGCCTCCTGACTCGTGCGAGCAGTCCAGGAGGCTGCTCTTGCCAATGCCAAATGCAGGCAGGGGCTGCAGCTGCAGCAGCTCCTCAAGCTCGTGAGGAACAGGCTATTTCTGGCCTGTTCCGCATCCCTGTTTACGTGCCTGAGTCTTAGGGGCAGGTCGAAACAATGAGGGCCTGAAAATGGCCCTCCGTTTCAGGCTGGAAAAACTCTGGGTCTGAAAGACCCAGAAATAGGCTGAAACAGAGTAGGGCCTGCAGGCCCTCGTTTTTCAGCTTTCAGGCTGAAACGACCGGGGCCTGTAAGCCCTAAGTTTTAGGCTTTTAGGCTGAATGTCCGGGACGGGCCCTGCAGGGCCCGTGTGGCTAGGCAGTATGCCACACCTACACATAATACAGGTCGGGTATAGAGGGCGCTGGAAGAGAGTCTGTAAGAGAATAGAAAAGAGCATTGCAGATAGGGATAAGATAATGGAGGCATTCAGCGAAAAACAGCACGGGGAAGGGAAAATAGCAACAGTCTACCAAAATACGATTTGTTTCGGCCATTGGAGATACAATAGACTAACCGCACCGTGATCAGTAGAACTTCCCCATAGCAGGAGTCATCTCACGGGAATGTCAATTGGATCCAGCTAGACGGCTTTGGACTGACACTACCTTTCATTAGACCGCACGTCCAAAATCGCAATTTGTCCCCTAGGGTTCAGGGTTTAACCAAATAACGTAGCAACCAAGTAGATGGAAGTTTAGGGTTTTAGTGAAAACCGGTTCAGAAGGCCAACCAGCAGTTATAGCATACGATGTGAATTCGACGAACTGAGAGGAACAGGCTACACAGGCCCCATGCAGGTCAGATACAGGCCCCAGTTTCCTTCTAGCAACCAAAGACGGAAGCAGGGTACATCAGGCTAGCTTAGGCAAGGGTGAGCGCTGGTACATCCTTCCTTCCGGAAGTAATCAATGCCGTCCTTCGGGCCTTCCTACCATAAGGGGGAGGAGCGTGTGTGAGTACTCATTGTAATTCTTTCTGACTTGCCAGTGGAATAGGAACTGGACTGATGCTCCCCCAGAATGGATAAGGAGCCAGAACCATAAGGTTCCGTTTTTTTTTTTTTTTTTAAGGGACTGACGCTCCCCAGAATGGATATGGAGCCAGGGCCATAAGGACCTGTTTTTCTTGTTTTTTTTCAAAAGAAATAATTTAATCCAGACAGCTGCAAACGTTCTGATCCCGGATCCTGGACTGTGGATTGTTTGGACCCCAATAAGGATGTCCAGATGGTAGCCATGACAAAAATAAAACAAAAAAGAGGGCAGAGTGTCATGAAACTCACAAAGAAACTGCGCAACTCTTTTGATGGAAAAGTATTTGTTCCATAAACTTGAATCCGTCTCCATGTGTCCTCTGCCATCTCCGGCAGCCCGTTCTCTAAGTCAACCTTCAGACCAGCTGCTACACCCTTCACACCCCCAAGCAATCTCAAACCCTCAATATCGCCATCTTCAGCTAGCTTTGAAATCTGGTCCGGTAGTATGCCAAAATGTGCCTCCACTGCTGGGGGTATTCCTGCCTCTGTTTCTGGGTATTGCAAGCATATTAGGCCACAAAATGGGAAACATCAGTGCCTCGCCAGTGTTGGAAAAGCATTTAAAAGAAAGAAAATCGAACTGATTGTCAGAGAGCCGTCAAGGTCACCTCAGGAGCATCCGCCCATGAATGTACCAGCATAGCCAAGCCTATTTAGCTCACATCTGGTTGTCCATCCAAGCAATCTAGTCATAGGTCCGAGACCTGACATATCCAAAGGTACACCCATTGTTTGGTACATTTGGTCATGTGCCTTAGGGTTGGGCCTCACTCGAGCTACAGTAGTGCCATGTCCATGCTATGTCCACTCTATGTCCATGCTATGTTTTTGCTGTGTCGCAGCCATGTCTAGGCTATGTCCATGCTATGCCGGTGCTATGACCATGCTATGTCTGTGATATGTCCGTGCTATGTCAAGGCTATTGTGACTGGCATCATGCGAACTTAGCACAGACATATCACCAATTGGTCATTGGACATGGCTCTTACAGACGGCCACTGCTGTGGCAATAACGGTGGTAAACCAGCAAAAGATTGGTTTGCATCTAACACCACTCTCATGGTACCAACAGGCCAGTACGGTCATGGCCCCGCTGAATCCGAATCTGCCTCATGTTTCCTCCTTATCATGATGGAGAAAAATTACAAGCACGACTGGTGACTTTATCTGTGAAGAGCACCCAAGCAAGGGTTCGATAGCTCTCCCTGTGGGAAATGGCTCAAGGGGTCTGATACCCTCCCTTGTTGGGACATCCCAACCTGAAATTACAAGAGAGTCATGCTGCTCTGAAGAAATAGTTAGAAAGAAAGAAAGAAAGAAAGAAAGAAAGAAAGAAAGAAAGAAAGAAAGAAAGAAAGAAATGGTCAAAGAAACACACTCTTTGACTGCTGCTCGAGTTACAAAGTCTCGAGGAAGAGGTCATCCCTTTGACTCTAAAGCATGGCTACGATCCGGACGTCCGGACCGCCGTCCAGACGGTCTGGATTCAGTCCGGACTCCAGACGTCCGGTCTGTAAGGTCCGGATCTGCCAAATTTCGAGGAAAAAAAAAAGAAGAAAAAAAACGATCCAGGACCCTTCCCCATTGAGGAGCCAAGCCCTCAAAACTGTTTGGGGGGGTTTTCAGGCCCGTTTATGCTTTTTTGGGGGGTCCGGACATGCTCTCTCTCTCTATAATAATTTATTAGACAACCCCAAGCTTTTTATAGTTTTTGACTTTTAACTCAAGTTTGGTTAGGAATTCTGACATGACTCCGAGGCAAAAGTGGTTTGCATTGTTATTCTGCATAACATACTTTTTTTTCAGATTTTATTATTATTATTATTATTTTTAATGGTCCGGACATTTCCGGACCTGTCCAGACATCCGGACCGTCCGGATTGTCCGGAGGTCCAGAAATGTCCGGAATTCCGGACGTCCTGAAACGACCGGACACGGGTCCGGTTCCATGTCCGGAAATGTCCGGGTCCGGGTCCAGCGTAGCCATGCTCTAAAGTATACTTCCACTTATCTGCCAGCAAATTACCACAAGAAAATATGGACGGCCCACGTAAAAAACTGTTTTATGCATGGTCTCCCGACCATGACCTTTCATGTTTTCACTTAATCCTAGTCATTATTTGTGTTGTGAAATAAGTACTACCAACTGCCCTGAGTCAGTGACTAACAGACCAGTGTAAGGTATGTGTGACAGCACTGACGAGCTGATTTGGGCGTGGAGATTCTTATGTGCATCAGGGAAGGAGGAGTGTGAAATGGGGCAGAGGAATGGGACATGTCAAGGGGAGGTAGCATACTGAGGGTAGGGGTTTTTGGTGTCAAGGGGGTCACAAGGGGAGTGTCAACTGGGCCAGAAGGATCAGGACGTGCCAAAAGAGGTGAGAAACAGGGAAGGGGGAAGGGGTTGTTAAGGGAGGTTCACATTATGTGTGGCAGGGCAGGTGCAGTGTCAAAGGGGTCAGAGGGATAGGAGGTGCCAACACTGTCGAGGAAGGTGGCACTGTGGTTCATGCACATGAGACAAAGGGAGACGGCATGTTGAGGGGAGTTTTGCAAGATGCTTTGCGCACATTGGGGAAGAAACCGAATGCGGCAATAGGGAGGGGAGTGCCAAGAGGGGATGGATTGTTTTTACACAGTTGAGATGTGGTAGACGGGTGTGTACAGGTGTTTGAACATCATGCTTTCTGTTCATGCACGGAGGGGGTTAATGTCAAGGGGTCTGACTTCAGGGTTTCCATGAATGGGGCAAGATACAGAAAGTGCCAAGGGGCATCGAAGGATGCTTTTTGTGAATGGAGCGAGGGAGGGGGTCAGAAGGTGATGCTTTATGTGCGTGGAGCACGGGATGGGGAGTGTCTGTTGTAATGCTTTACATGTTTGGAAGGCAAGCAGCATTGTCTAGCAAGAGGCTCACCTGGTCAGGTCAATGCCACACAATCGATCTGATTCACGTACATGTGGAGAGGGAAGGGGATTGTTGAGCGTGTCATACATGGTGGAGGGCTGGGAATGCACCAGAAACATCAGTCACACGGGAGAGGCCGAACACAAGGTACTTTTATGCACACTGGGCAGGGAAGAGATGTGTTAAAGGGTGTTTCATGATCCTTGCACAAGCAGAAGAGGGAAGAGTGTGTCAGAAGGGTGTTGCAAGGTTCACCCACCTGGGGTGAGGGAGAGGGAGTGGCAACAGGGAATCCCACAATGCTTTACACACACGGAGGAAGAAACAGAGAGTGCCAACGGGCCAACGGGGGTCAGGCAACATTTTATGTGCATGGATGGAGGGAAAGTGTCTAGGGCTTGTGGGAGCAACAGGGAGTGTGTTGCAAGACACTTGACCTGCTAATGGGGAGGGAGTGAAGTATCGAGGGTGCCATGCAATGCCTCACATTCAAAGGGATGGGACTTGTCAGCAGGGGTCAGAATGATGATTTACGAGGATGCGGTGAGGAACGACAGGAGTTGCGGAGGACTGCTGTGGGATGGCTTGTGGTACAAGTAGGGAGGGGAAGGGACATAGAGTGCCACGGGGTGTCACACAACACCTTATGCACATGTGGGGAGCGTCAAGGGGTCTTCCAAGATGCCTTACCTGCAATCCAGGAGGGCAGGGGTGCTAAAGGTGTGCATTGCATGCAGTGGGGAATGTCAAAGCCACTACACAATACTCGATAAAAGCATTTGAGTAGAGGACATGTAGTTGTCAAAGGCAGTTGCATAATGCTTCAAGTGCGCTGCGGGAGGGTGCGACAAGGCGCTTTATGCACACGGAGGATAAAGGGAGTCGGGGGTGCAGAAAGGAATGTCAAAAGGGAAACGCAAGATGCATTCAGTGTATAAGGGGGGCAATCAGGACTACGGAAGGAGGTTGAACTGTTCTGTATCCATATCATGAGCTGGAGGGGGATGGTGGGGTGTCCCAAGATGCACGACCCGGATTGGGGGAGGCCCCAGGAGGGAGGAACAGTGTCAAGCGATGTTGTACAATGCTTCACACAGCTGAGGGGAGGATGAGCAATGACAGAACTTGCACCCCTGCTTTACTCACGCAGGGGATGGGAGCGGGAGTGTCGACGGGTGTCGCAAGGTGTTTGACTCACACAGGGATACACAAGGAGAGCTGGAGGGGTATCAAGGGTACCATTCATGTCTCTGAAAACCTTCAGAAGAAAGCCAAAAACTCACCTATCAAACCGAATTCTGCTGCGTATTGCGCCGACTCTACGTCAACTCGCCGCCTCGCCCAGCCACAGCAAAGCATTTGCAGACACTGCAAAGATATTCAATCCCAGATTAACAGCACCCCTTTGCCCCGATCCCGCATCCTATCCTCCTCGAACCATCAAACAGCACCGTTCATCATTCGTTCATGATGTCATGCCAATCGTTCATCCATTCCCATAGCACCGAAACAAGACACACAAAGGCAAACAAATTATCTCAGAAGACATGACATCCCATTGCACACTTGCTACCGGATTCCTTGGTAAGTGTTTCCCTAGTATAGAGTCTCGGGATCCATACATCTGGCAGGCACTCAGACACCACACGTTCAAGTAAATCATACGGACGCTCATCCCAGGCAGTCATCCGCATAGCGGCACACATTATAAAAATGTCATCACCAAGTGCTGAAACCATCCATAGATTGCCAGTGTCCCACAGCGCTAACCACTTGACAAGAATAACTCACAGGCACTACCATCTTAACCTAAATATAACGTACTGTCACTTTCGCTGCAGCTGAACTGGCAGTTGGGCCAAATACAGACATAATGACCGTACGTTCTATTTGGGGGAAGACGGTAGCCATGATGGGAATCGCTTTGGGAATCTATGGAAGAAAACCGCCAAAGATTCTCATGACAATTTAGTTCCAACTTCCAACGAGGGAACGTTATCCCAGACAACCATGGACCGCGGTTTCTCCGGACAGCTGATCTGAACAGACCTGGACAGCAGATGCAGGACAGAAAGTCCAGATGACCAAGTTTCCAGATCTATCTGGCCCATCCAAACCATGTCGAGAACCCTGCTTGGATGTCAGGACCTCCCTGGACTGCCAAAGAGTTTCTTTTCTTTATGTGTCAAAGTCGACATGGAGAGAGCAGGAAAGAAAGTAAATGTATGTTGTCACACATGCGATGGAACACAAAAAAGTCACGAAAGAACATATCATCTCCAAAGGTCCTACTGTTCTTAGAGCTCTCTCTCTCTCTCTCTCTCTCTCTCTCTCTCTCTCTCTCTCTCTCTCTCTCTCTCTCTCTCT